CTGTATTGGCCTCTCTCTCTCTCTCTATTGAAGTATAATATTGATGATTTAATCTCTCAAGCTGTCCATAAATTAATTTAACCATCCCCGCTTTTTACACATTGTTTCTCATTGAATTCATTGAATTGATACTTAGTGGTGGGTCATTAATTAAAAAAGGATTCGTACTGGTCCTGGAAAACCTGAAAAATCCTGGAATTTTATTTTCTTATTTTCAAGGACTGGCCAGGACTGGAAAGTCCTGGAAAAAGAACACTGGTCCTGGAAAGTTCTAGACATCTGTTAAACTCAGGAAATCATGTTTTCTTAAAACAATTTTTAAATTTTAAGATTTCTTCAGAGATGCAACACTTGGCTCTCTAAGACATGCTTTGTTGTGCAGTCTGCAAATATTATTCTAAAACATACAAATATTCAGTAAAATACCCTTACCACACTCATTTGCATTGTATTGCTCAGGGAACGAGTACAGGTGATATGGTATCCCTTTAGGCATCTGAGCATCCTCTTGGCTCCTTACTCTATGTGAATTCCACACAGTTTCCCTAAAGATATCCATTTCTTTCTGGATGACAGGAATGAAAATGAATGCCAATAGGTGCCTGTTTAAATGCAAAGACAGCATAGTAAGAATGCAGATCCATGATATTTAAATGTGGCAGGTGTTAACTACAAGTCACAGGCTATGTGTCAGGTCAATTAATAAAGAGAGGTGAAATCAGGATAACATCAAAATTATAATCACTTGGAAATTAACTGCACATGTTTTCAGTTACCTTATTACATGAAGCTTCTGCAACATGTTAATTTTGAAAATTTCACGATTTTTCGCAAAATAAAAAAGATGCAAAAAAATAAGTGTTGCGAAAATTACATGACGTGAAAATCAAGTGAAACTTCATGTAAATAATCATAAAAAGGATAAGTTTATTACCACTGAGGTCATTACAAGTCTAAAAGCAAGCCAATAGTGGACTTCACCTTACTTTTGGTTTACAAACTAATTCACACAACTTGGTTGGTGGAAATGTATAAATTTTTATCCTTTTATTCACGTCAATGGCTGGTTACATTAACTTTGTCAAGGAAAAATACCTTATCCCAGGGGCGGTGCATTACTCAAAATTAATAACTGCTTAATAACCGCGTTTGAGGGCTTTACTGTAAAATTCCAGACTGAGGGATGAAATTTTTGCTTTATGGACCGAGCCTCTGGGTGAGGTCCATAAATAGAAAATTTCAGCCCAAAGGTAGGGGTGTGTCGCTGGGACTCTAAGACCCTTACCCTATACTAGATCATGTTTGAGTTTTGCGACTCTCTTCTAGACTAGATGCGTAAAATTACCACCCTATTCCAGACTCGCTAGTCTCCAGGAACTTTATTTCTGTCACAGGAAGTTGCTTATACGGTAAATGATACCCTATTCCAGACCAAAATGCTCTGATTTTTAATACCCTATCCTAGACTAAACTGCTCAAAAACCCTACCCTTCACAGCAGCACATACCTATAAGCTTTATATATGGGAGTACCCCTCCCCGGGATGTAGAGCTTAACCGTAGTTAACTATGGTTCAGCTTTGACTATATCATGATCAGTCTGCAATTGCCATTGTATATATTTTGCATACAGGACCAATGTTACCTTTTGTTTTGTACGGATGATCCATGTACCAACGACCAATAAGCTTAGGGTCAGAGTTTGTGGTCCATAATTTCAGATACAAAATGTATCCACTAAAGGCATCTTGCAAGCCGTAAACAGCTAAAGGAAAAGTGCTATTCATGAAACCCATTAGCTTGTCATGGCCATCCCCAGAATGAGTGTGATTAGGTCCCTGTATACAAGACAACATAATAAAATAACTACTATGACATGACACTATGATCATAAGCCTATTACAGAAGGGGGATCCTTGGCTGATCGGATTGGGGAAGTTCAGAAAATTTATGGGAACTCACCAAACTGAAAGACGAAAAGAAACGGGGAAGGGAAGCAGGTTTGCTTGTGTCCAAATCCACCATGTTTTGGATAATCAAAAAGACCTGGACCATCAGTCAAGTATTTGTACCTATAGGCAGGCATGCATAAGCAAGTTGAGATCAACATATATTATAACCAGAATGTCCTGATATGGATTTTGTTTGGCAATCTTTAAAAGGACAAGCAAGATAATGAGAGCTTTTAGCACACAGATACCCCAGTTACTTGCGTTGCCTTTAAAATGTCTTTTGCAGATGTCTAAAAACATGTTGCACTAGTTTGAAATTCATGATAAAAGCACAGGCAGACAAGTTGGATGGTTCGAGGTAGGTTGCCATAACATGCCATTTGATCCCATATATTTACTCTACTTTGCAACGGCTTACTCTAAGGGATCAGGGAAAATGCTTCAATGAATTTTACATATTTGGGCACCTGCCACAAAAAGGTGGGAGAACTTACCAATGATGTGAACGTTCCAGTAGCTCCTCTTTGTCGTTTTTTTTGACCAACATTCCCTCGCCTAGTCAGTCCTTCGGGGTCCACCATACCCATAACATCATGGACCAGATTGCAAGGGACAGCCAATTTATGTTGCTCTCGTATTTTTCTCTGCATTGCTCGATACCCTAGATACTACCCTGGACCCTCCATTTCCTCTTCGATTGCTTTCTTCACATCTTCAACGTTGGTTTCGTACTGAACGTATTTGATTCCGAAAAAATGTAATCTTCTGCTAAGTGTAGGCAGACTCCAGGCATACTCAGGGAAGTCCCGACTAGCAAAATCCAGTATCTCCTGCCTGGAATAGTTTGCTAACACATAGCGCTCAAGGTCGCTCTTCAGTTGCTCGTCACTCTCCCACTCTGAGCAACGAATGCGGACCGCCATTTTGAGAGAAGAGAAAGAGAGAGGAAGCTGGGAACTAGGTTGTCCACTGACCTTACGTGTCGCAGGCTATGATAACAATGGGCTGCTTTCGAACATTTCATTTTGGAAACAAATATCGTAATATTCCGTTCGGCCCAGCGTTATCATAGTAAACTTGAAATTAATTTACATTTGTACTTAAGGTTTTTATCCTATTCATTTTTTTAAAATTATTTTCCACTTTAATTTTAACTTTTATTTATTTTTTAATTTTTAATCTTCCTTTACTTTTTTTATTGAATTTCTTCAGTAGCTCCTGTTTTCTTTAATGTTTTATTTTAAATTCAATTTTTTTTATTTTTTGGATTCCTTTTACTTTTATTTTTTTTAATTTTACTTTTATTTTTTTATTTTATTTTTATACTTGTTTTTTATTTATTCATTTTTTTGTTCAAATAGGTCATTAATTATTATTTTTAATATTTTTGCCCAATTTGTTTTCCTTCTTATTATATTTTTTAATTTTAGTTCTTTCTTTTTAATTTTTTTATCACATCCGTATGCTTTATTCTCCTTTCTTTTTAAATTAAGGAAGCATCTCCAGCTGGTTTCGCTATGATAACAATGGGCCACCATACATGTACAAATCCTTAGTCAAAGAAAGGTTCTCGAAAATTGACCAGGAGGATCTTCAGGAAAAGGTGAAGCTTTGGAGGGAGATTTCTTCTGAGGATTATTTTGAGTTCCAGCCCTATGTAACTTACAATGAAGAGGGAGAGGAACGAAATGGGGATGATGATGATAGCAGTCGTAGCGATGGTGAGGAGGATGATGAAGATATCATATTGAAGACGCCAACTAAAGGGCTCCTATTTGCACACCAGACGAAAGATCAACGACGGCTTTTAGAACGCTATGGAAATGAAATAAGTATGCTAGACGCTACTTATAAGACCACGAAGTACAGCCTCCCTCTTTTCTTTGTAGTTGTGAAGACCAACGTCGATTATCAAATTATAGGCTCTTTTGTTATCCAAAGCGAAACGTCAGATTCCATTTATGAAGCCCTCTCGATAATTAAGTCTTGGAACCTCACCTGGAACCCCTCATATTTTATGGTGGATTTCTCAAAAGAGGAGATGTCTGCAATTAGCAAGTTATTTCCAGGTATTAAGATTCTTTCTTAGAGCAGTGTCACACTGCGAAAATAGATATCTATGGATTCGTAATTTATGACCATTTATGGTTTTATAAAAGAAAGATGTGAGCACAGTCACCATCTTCTAAAATCTAATACGTCTAATGAACGTCTTGATTCTGAAACAAACAAAGTACACGACAAAAATCAACTCCCATTATCACGTTTACAATAAAATTCTTGACAGGTGGAAGAGTATTTTGTTACTGTTTCTCCCTCTAAATAATTATTAACATTCGTCAACGAATGTTAAGCTGGTGCCAGTTTGATTCTTTCATGCAAAGTAACTTCATTCATTTTATCCTTTTTTTCCAATGACAAAATAGAGAGTGCGATCTACATCTGCGACTTTCATCGTGAGCAGGTATGGGAAAGGTGGCCTTCAAAGTCCAGCAATGGCCTATTGAACGAAAAACAAAAAGTCCTTTAAAGCTGCGAGCGATAGCTATGGCCCGCACGGAAGAAGAGTATCGACATAGATTGAGCGACCTCCAAGATAGCGAAGAATGGAGGACAAATACCAACTTAAGTAACTATATCACAAAGACATGGCTGCCTCAACATAAGGTATATGCATACTTACCATCATATTTTCTTGAATTTCTTGCTGGAAAAGCTAATTTTTAATTCTTTTATAGAAATGGGTATAGGCGTTCAGAAAAGACTGCTTCCTTACAACTATCAACACCAACAATGGCGTTGAAAGGCAGAATAAGGCTTTCAAGTACGATTACCTCGCAGGAATCAAACAAAGAACCTTGAGTGGGATGCTCTCAGTGCTAATAGATGAGTTCCTTCCTGACAAGTATCTCAAGTAAGTAATTCCTGCTTTCCGTGTCCAGTCACATGCTGTCTATATTTGGAACATTTTGTGTTTATTTGTACACTTTGGTATAGAACGTCTCGGTTTCAGTGTGAAATGCCCGAAAATTTAGTAATGAATGAATAAATGAATGAATAGAAAGATGTTTTATTGTTTTAATAAATTTTAACGGACAGTTAAATAGTCTAATGAAAGAAAGGGAAAAGAAAGTTATTTTTCAATATGAGAGAGTGACTAAGTGGAAGGCGAGACAGTCTGTAAAGGCGTGATACAAATACCATTACCATGGAGTAAAAAAGGAACATTCTGATGGCCTTTTTGTGTCTCAGGTATGTGGAATTGAATACAAAACTTCAAGCAAGTTTTCGACGCTATAACTCTGCCATCCCCTCCTATTTAAGAGAACGACCGCACCACATCATAAAACATTCCATGGACAGGCTATCTCTTGCGGAGTCTATCCCAAGTAGCAATGTCACAGTTATTGACATGGAGAATGGCGAGTTTTTGGTGAAAAGCCAAAGTAGACCCGAAGAGAAGAAGATGTACAAAGTCATGTTTGGGACCAAGCAGCCAAGCTGTGAGTGCTTTGATTGGGAGAGGCAACAGCTGCCATGCAAACATTTTTTTGCCGTATTCCAGCACTTCCCGTCATGGTTGTTTGATAGACTTCCAAAAGAATATTGAGATTCCCCATTCTTCAGTGTCGATAGAGATGTGCTCTTAGCCGGTGAAAAGGAAGAAGGCGACGGTATTGCCGATGGGAAAGTAGTCGACTCACCTCCATGTGTGCATGACGAGGTTCACGATCTTCAGAAGCAATCGTCGCAGTTTGAAAATATGCCTCAATCGAATTTACGACCCCGAACCTATGCTGCAAAATGTCGTGAACTATTGGGTCAGATAAAAAACCTGACCTACACTGCAGAGGCGTGGGAAGTTGGTGGGAGTTTAAGGCAAGTTCAGGAAAAGCTTGAAGAGTGTCTCGACCTTCTGCAGAAAACAGCCCCCAAGGAGGATGGTATCATTCTGGAAGCTCCTCTCCTGAAGTCTACTATGAAAAAGAATTTGTGCAGGATGAAAAAAAAGAAAGTAGACTATAAAAGGCTGCCAGTATCTCAGAAGAAAAATCCTTTCACTGGACGTGTAGGGGAAAGAGCTAACAACATGAAAAGGGGGCATAACGTCAGCTTAAACGATATAGAACGCCAGCCTGCCAAACAGCCGAAACTCGCACACATCAAGAATGCCAACTCAAGCGCCGAGGCTCAAGTAAACATAAACCGCAGTGAATAACTCTAATGGTTCAAATTCAAGCGCCAATCAAACTGTAAAGGCAAGCACCCCTTACACACCAAACAAGACCACATGCATCACCAGCACCGCAAACGCAAACGCAAACACCATCTCCTCCATTAACACAACCTCGAGCACAACCGGCACTGCAAACACATGCATCATCCTTATAGTAAATGCGACAACGAACACAAACCTGGTCCAGCAAAACAAAAAAGATGATGAAGTAGAATTTGTAAAGACCTCTCACAGAAGCGCCACAAAGGCCGGTAAATTCCATCTCTTGGAACAGCACATTAGCACCATTTCAACTAGAGACTGGCTCACCGACCATATTGTAGGTGCAGCTCAGTCTGTTCTGAGGGAACAGTTGCCTCATGCAAGAGGATTGGAAAATACAACTTTGGGGCCTATATTTAATTTTTCTGTTCAAAAAGGCCAATTTTCACAAATCCTGAATACTGGCAGCCATGATTGGGTGTTGGTATCTACTGTAGGATGCTACACTCCTTCTGTAGTTTATCTGTACGACAGCCTGTTTTTGGGAAGAATTGCAGCTCTCGTTCAGAAACAGATTGCATCAATAATATACGAGGAAGGAACCAGTTTTAAGGTCATTGTACCAAATGTGCAACACCAGAACAATTCCGATGACTGTGGAGTTTATGCTATTGCTTCTAGGAGAGAAGATAGTAACTCATGAGTATGCTTCGACTGCAAATGATCGATAAACATTTAATGCGGATATATTACCACAGCATCACATGGATAAACCTTTTTATATCTGAGACGTAATTTATTGTCTCCACTGCTGTAAGTTAGTAGAATATTCACAATTATTTACCATGTATCAACTCATGCAAACCAGATTGCAAAATTTGAGACCTGCTCCTCTCCTATGTTTCTTAAAGTAAAGGAATGTTGATGTGTGTTGTTTCAGGAAATACTGAAGGCATCATATAGAAACCAATCTGTGAATGGTGTATACATGTATCCTAATACACAATTCAAGAATGAAACCAAGGGCAAGGAGTTGGTTAAAATTATTCATATATGTGACAGTCGTGCACACTAAATTTTTCCAGTTGTAATAAATTCCAATATCCGCTAGAACAACACAATTCAAGCTTAAGTGAGGTTAAACAAAAAATATATGAATTAGTATATCAATCCAAAGATACTCAGTTCATAGGTTATTAGTAAGAGTTAGCAAAAGAGTTACATTGGTTCTAAAACCCTTTATATCTAGTCATAGAAAAAAACTTGAGAAAATACAATTCTGTTGCTGGCACATATGTAATCATACTGATAAAGGACTTGCTTTATGCACTGCCAGATATGAAAACATGAAACACAATCAGGGATAAAGATTGGGAGTGTATTGCCCAACAAAAATATGATGAAACCAGATAAAAATGAGATTCTTTTCATGTTATTTCTGTGTTAGAAGAAAAACAATCCTTTTGATGATTCAACAAAACCCATTTAAAGAATGAAATTCTGCTCAACAGCATATTAATCAGTCTTCAGAAGAGCAAGAATCCTTTTGAATAAGGGTCTTCACAAAAGCAAAGTCAGTCTCTGGAGAAGAACAAGAGTTTTTATGATCAATTAAGAAAAGAAATATTCATTGTTGAGTGAAAGACAAAAAATATTCTAAGAAGACTAAGAAAACTGAGGTTCTTCCTCTCCAACAATAGGCTCTTCAGGAAGAACAACAATTCCTCTGATAAGCAAGCTTAATATACGAGATTCTGCTTGATTAATATTATGGCTTAGGAGGAGAGTAGAGTCTCTCCTCAGAAGAATACATTATTTACTGGTTCTTTTCAAAAGGATTCCACTTCTTCTGCTTATTCTTCTAACAAGGATCAGACAAATCAGTTTCTTGTCAAAAGAATTCAGTTTTCTTCTCTTATTCTTCTAAGACAAATCAGACAAAATCAGATTCTTTGCATAAGAATTCTTAAGTTGGGAGAAGACCCCCAGTTCTTTCCACAAGAGCCAGATGTCTTCTCCTCAGAACTATAATTCTCCTCTGAGGATAAGAATCTGAAATTATAAATTCTTCTCTGAAGAGACATGAATCTTGCAGAAAGAATTAAATTTCTGTTCAAAAGAATTCAACTTTTGACTGATTTAGAGTGTATAGAATGTGATCAGATATGTAATCAACTCCCACATCCACCTAATAGATCTTGTATAATAATGCTTAAGCTTAAAAGAAAGTTACAATCTAGAGGACATGTTTATTTTCATACATTACAACCAGAGTTAATACAGCATGTTCTAAACTGGCTCAAAGTACATAATCCAATGCACAAAGGTATACTAGTTGATATTAACAATACTGATAGCAACAACACAGCTTCCCAAAATGATCCAGATAATGATGATACACATCAACAAGCTACATCAAACAATGTAAAAACATATAGTGATTGTGCATTGGAATATGATGTAAGAGAAAATGATAAATTAAATAGTAATGAAGAAGAAATTGATGACCCATTGTATGAATATAGAGCCCCAGTATGTGAGATATGCTTAGAGTCAATTATACCAAATTATCCACTGGTGAATGCTCAAGTAATATGCTTGATACAAAGCCCGAGTGAATGCTCCTCAAGTGTCTTGTTTTTCAAAGTTAAGTGTATGAATTGTATCAATTGTTTCAACAGATGTCTGTGATAGCAAAAGCCTATGCAACTTAGGCAAAACAAGGGAGGTGGCACCAGAGACATTACTCTGTCAATTAAGGCAATAGCTGACAGTATCATCAAAACTGGAAAAGAATTGTTCTTCCCTGGTGGTATAAGTTCATTTGGCAGTAAAGACACAATGCAGTTTTCATTGGGTAACTACAAAGAGGATACTGTTTCCCATGTGGTTGTTGGTAGTTTAGTTTTACCTGTTACAAAGGCATCTGAACTCTACTTAATTCCCCCAAGCAAGGCTCTATTTAGCATCAAAAGTGAAGCAGTGTGAATTTAAGGAAGGTGGTGACATCAACTTCAGCCTATATTAGATCTCACAACCACCAGAAGACATTACCCTGGAGAAGACCATGGATATCATTCCACTTCTATCAGTGACCAACCTGGAAGCCAACAGAAACCTTATGGCCAAACAGGACAAGAAGTATCAACATAGTTCACTAGCCGATCAGAAGAAAGAAGAGGAGAGAAGAGAAAAATTGATGTTAGAAATTCATAATTCATAATTCATACCCAGTAATAGCTAATATCAGAAATGAGGCAGATTTGAAATTCAAGTGAACTTAGCACTGCTTTGGTGCTGAAATGCGATGGAGGGAAAATCTCCTGCTCCTCAGCCAACTCCCTCATGGCCAATTATTCAAGTGTTTGCACCCTGCCTCAATCATCAGAAGAACTGGTATGCAGTCACAAAGGAATCATGTGAAATTATTGGAGTGTCACGAGCGCCTGCCTGGTAGCATGTGTTAATACTGATCTCCGGAAAATCTTGGATTTTACTCATTATTTCTACGCAAAATAACCCTGTTGGATGAGAAGTGTTCTCCAGTATGGCAGCCATCTATACGAGCTCCTTCCTAAGGTTTTTATCCTCCTCAATCCAAACTAACAACTGTCTTGCACCAGACTTATGGCAACGCTTGACCTCCCTTGGTCTATCTAGAGTTAAGCCTACGCGTCGTGGCCTTCGTGGTGGTAACAGGAGGAGACAAGTCCTACCGAGACCCGGTATGGTGCTGGAATCTTCCATGGGACAGCCCTTGTCCAGCTATGGCAGTTTTCTAGCCGATTTCCCTGGCGAAAAGGTAAACCTCAATGGCGAGAGTAATTTACATACTGCTCCGTCTTCCACATTAAATATTCAGATTGACACCTTACAGCGTGTTGGAATAAACAACGGTTCCATTCCGGTGATCAAGCCTCGAAATCGCCTGTGGGACCGGCCTTCTGGTCCCCAGCGCCCCCGGGCGTGTGCAGGTGAAACCTTTCACGTTTTGCCCCTACAATTCCATCAAATCAGGGGAAAGAAAACTCAGTGTTTGGCCTTAGTGCACTACTCGCTAACACCATGTCACTAGCACCCAAGATTGACGAGGTTCGTTCTGTTGTCCTGGATCTAAAACCTAATTTAGGGTTCTTTACCGAGACGTGGTTAAGAGAGACAATCTGTGACTCACTGCTGCAGATCCCAGGCTACTCATTTATCCATCGTGACCGCACCACAGACCATCACGGCGGTGTTGGCCTCTACATCGAGAATTCTATCAAATTCAAGCACCTAGAAAAACTGTCAGATCCTGACATCAAGGCACTGTGGGCGTGGCTATGACCCAGCCGACTTCCACGCGGAGTTCCCTGTATCGTCGCGGGTGTCATATACCATCCACACTTCAACAACAGCATCAGAGATGCAGCACTTGTGAACTATCTGTCAACATCCCTCACTTCTTTGGAAGGAGAGTACCCCGGTTGCAGTTTTGTGTTGTGCAGCAATTTCAACCGCCTAAATACTCGCCGTTTGATCACCTAATTCAAGCTGAAGCAACTAGCAGATAAGCCCACAAGGGGTGACCAAATCTTGGACTTAGTGCTTACTAGCCCTTCCACAGCTCTACGACTCAAACGCTGTGCAAACCTTTCCCCCCTTTGGCATGTCTGACCACAATGTTGTCTTAGTGAGACCCAAAGCAAGACCCAAGGGCAACGGTTGCAGTATGAGAACCACGGCAAGGTGAGACACATGACCAAGTAGAAAGTTGGAACTCGGACGCTATCTCTCGTCGATTGACTGGTCTCCAGTCAATGGAGATGACTGCGAGGCTAGGTTAAGCATGTTCGTTGACATAATTCAGATTGGTATGGATCACATCATGCCGGTTAAGCACTTCAAGACACATGTTAATGATGTGCCATGGATCACAACAGAGTTTAAAAACCTTATCAAGCTGCGCCAGCAAGCGTTCAACAAGGGAGATAAGGACGCCTCCAGCCGCTACCGCAACATCGTCAACTGCGAGCAGAAATCTCTTCACGGCAAGTACTTTGCTAGCAAAGTTGACCATCTCAAGTCCACCAAGCCCTCTCAGCGGTTGAACGCTGTCATATGGGTTGCAGGAATGGTCCCCTGCTCCAGATCAGAGTCTTTTCTTTCCAGCTTACATTTGGATGGCGATTTGAGCGAACTTGATATAGCCAACAAAATTAACTCAGCCTTTCTTGCTCCAATGGAAAACTTTCAGCCATTAATGCCAATCGCAGCCCACGAGGATGAACCCTATGTGTTGTCTGTATCCGAGTCTGTGGTCTTGGCTGCTTTGAAGCAATTAAACCCGTGTAAAGCAGCCAGACCTGACTGTGTTCCTAATTGGCTCCTGCAAGAGTATGCAGAGGTTCTTGTTGAACCCGTTACGGCTATACTCAATTCCAGCTATAAAGAGCAAAAGCTGCCCTCGCCATGGAAGCTAGCTGACATTGTACCACTGCCCAAACAGAAGTCTATTGAAGACCTAAGTAAGCATCTGTGGCCCATTTCCCTGACCCCCACCATCTCGAAACTCGCGGAAGACTTCGTTGTAGCCACTCATGTCGGTCCCGTAGTACTCAAGAAGATCGACTATGATGGCAGCATCCCCGAATCTTCCACCTCACCTCGAGAGGCATTTGATCTCATTGATCATTACATTACACCCACCACTACTTCTGAACAAGCTTGAAGCGAACGGTTTTCAGGAAAGCGCTATTCAACTTTTAAACAGCTATTTAAATGAACGGAAATATCAAGGAAAGATCGGCCGTCATGTTAGTTAGAGCCGATTCGTGAGTCGTGGCTGTCCTCAGGGTTCCGCGCTTGGCCCGTTGTTATGGAATGTTTTCCAGAATGACCTATCGAACTTGTCTATGTATGCCGACGACCATCAAATTTACCACGCAGGAGCAGACCAGGCAGCTGTGACTTCCCAGTTAAAGGATAGTGCCAACTCAGCAACAACGTGGTACGATTCTAACTTATTGGCGGGAAACCTCAAAAAGTACCAAGTTTTGAACTTGGGCTTCACTCAAAATGACAGCAATATTTGCGTGAATGATGTTGTGATTGAAACTAAAGATAATATCATACTTCTAGGAGTAGTGTTAGATTCTAAGCTAAATTTCTCTGAGCATGTAATCTCTATCTGTAAAAAAGCCAGCCAGAGAATTGGTGTTCTAATGAGACTACGTAATTTAATTCCTATGAAATCTAAGTTAATATTATTCAAAAGCGCGATATTACCATTCCTCACGTACTGTCACCTAGTGTGGCATTTTTGTAAAGCGAGTGACACTCGAAAGCTTGAAAGACTACAAGAAAGAGGACTTAGAGTGGTTTTCAAGGATAATAATTCTAGTTATGAACAACTATTAGAGAAGGCAGATCTGCCAACACTACTAAATAGTCGCTTACAGGATCTGTGCATCCTTATGTATAAAGTAAAGCATAAACTGTGCCCTGTATATATAAGTAACATCTTTAAAGAACCAAATAGTAATTACAATCTGCGGCAAGCAGATTTCTCAATACCTAGGTATGAGACAGTCGCCTATGGCAAGCACTCTATTAGATATTTAGGGCCTAGGCTATGGACAAAACTACCCAAGAGTATCAGGGACGTCACAACCCTAACGTCGTTTAAAAGCAAGATACGCCAACTCAATATAAGTGAACTTTTAGATGATGGCTGCGCAGGCTGTAGCCTTTGTTCATTTTGACTTCTGTGTATTTTTACTATAAATCTCTTAATGAGTTAACTATAGATATTTTACCTACTACTGTATATAGTTTTTTTTTTTAGTTTGTATATTCTCCCCTAATTGGTGTCCCCAAATTAGTAAGGGATTTGTTCCCTAGCTAGACGGTTTTTTGACACTTTAATAAAGTTTCTATCTATCTATCTATCTATCTATCATATGATGTGTTAAGTGTTACTGTTGTTATGTGTTGTGTGTTATCATCCATTCTTGATAAGCACGCCCCTCTGCAGACTAAGACTGTTATTCAACGTCCTGCGGTTCCCTGGTACAGTGAAGAAATTGCAACCGAAAAGACTCAAAGATGCAAACTTGAACGGCGCTGGCGCCATTCTGGTCTCTAAACTGATCGCCAAGCTTACGTTACGCAATGCCTTTTACTTAAAAACCTTATCTTTACTACTAAAATGGACTACTATTCTTCGTTAATTGATGATGCTGGGTCAGATTCAAAAGCACTTTTTTGTAATATCAATCGTCTTCTTCACAGAAAACCTGATAAACTCTATCCGTCATGTACATTGGCTAGCGATCTCGCTAATAACTTTGCAAACTTTTTCACAGAGAAGATGGCTACCATAAAAGAGCAACTTGTAAGTCGAGTAACTTTTTCTCCGACTGTAACACTATTTGATACACCTAAACTTGATTGTGAATTGACTACACTCTCACTAACTACCGTTAAAGAACTGTCAGAGATCATTGGCAAGACTGCATCCAAATCATGTTGTCTTAATCCCTTGCCTTCTAGATTGCTTGTTCCTCATCTCAATGATGTTCTGCCTGTTATTTGCAAAATGGTCAACTTGTCGCTGGAAACAGGTTCTCTGCCACCAAGTCTAAAGGAAGCAGTTTTGTCACCGTTATTGAAAAAGCCGTCCCTAAACCATGAGACCCTCACAAACTTTAGACCAATATCTAATCTTAAAATGGTCTCGAAGATTATTGAAAAAGTGGTAGCTGTACGTTTAAACCGCTATCTTGAAGAAAATAATCTCAACGAACCTCTCCAGTCTGCATATAAACAGTATCACAGCTGCGAGACCGCCCTTGTTCTCGTTCAAAATGACATTCTTCTCTCCATAGATAATCAACAATGTGTTGTTCTTCTGCTACTTGACCTGTCCGCAGCATTTGACACAGTTGATCATGGGATTTTGCTTCAATGATTGTCAACGAACTTTGGTATTAAAGGCAAAGCACTGGACTGGTTTACGTCCTATTTAACTGACCGCTCTCAATTTGTCCAAATAGATGTATCTGAATCTGATAAACTTTCTCTTTTGTGTGGTGTCCCTCAAGGCTCCATTCTCGGCCCCATTCTGTATCTCTTACATACCTCACCTCTTGGCGATATACTGCGACATCACATGTCATTTCACTTTTATGCTGATGACACCCAACTCTATACAACCTTCACTTACAACAATGAATTAGAGTGCAACAATACAATAGCACAACTTCACGACTGCTTAGCTGACATTGATACTTGGCTGACCTTAAACAGACTTAAGCTCAATAAAGAAAAAATGGAACTTCTGGTTCTTCACTCCCGACATCGTCCTCCACCTGCTTTTGCATCCCTCAAAATAGGATCTGAAGTGATTCTTCCATCAGATTCTGCACGAAATGTCGGCATCATTTTTGACAATACTATGACTATGGTGCCTCACATCAACTCTACCTGCAAGAGTGCTTTTTATCATTTAAGGAACATTGCACGAACTTGGAAATTTATTTCTCTGAAGACTACTGAAACTCTAGTTCATGCTTTTGTTAATTCAAAGCTGGACCACTGCAACTCCCTAGCGTATGGCTTGCCTAAATATCTCCTACAAAAGCTTCAGTATGTTCAAAATGCCGCCGCGCGCCTTATTACTGGTATACGGAAACACAACCACATAACCCCTATCCTGATGGATCTACACTGGCTCCCTGTTAATCAACGCATTCAATTCAAGATTCTTCTTTTGACATTAAAATCTCTAAACGGCCTTGCCCCTGTCTACATTGATGAAATGATCCAACGCTATGTACCAAATTGAAAGCTTCGTTCGTCTTCTGCATTTCTTTTAAAACAAAACAAATGGAACCTTAAGAGTGAATGTCTCTAAAAATCAAAGAAAAATTTTAAAATCACGGACACGGTCAAAAATCGTTTTGTCTCATTTTTTGTTTACAGGTAGCTATAGGTACTACTTAAAGTGATGTGAGGTTAGTTTGTGTAAATATTCATTTTAACGAAAATAAACCGTTACTAATTGCATGATCGAAAATGAGTGCGTGCAAGCTCTAAATTATGCAGTTTTCAGGCCGTCCTTGCATGAACTAAAATGCAACAGCTGGACTTCTTTAGCTGTAAATAAATACATGTGGCCTTCCATTACCAAGGTATAGTGATGAAACCACGGGTTAATTACCAGTGTACGTGTTCACCATTTTTAATTCATGCCAAACCCGGCCTAATGCAGTGTGGCAAAAATGCATGTGGTAGTTTCTCAAAATCTCCAGCAATACTATCACGAGGGCTTGTTTCATTTTTCTGGTATCTTCTGCTGTTTTGATATACCAACTAACCAAACTTCGCTAAAATTGTAAATGGCGCCATATTGAAATGAACAAAATCAACATTGCAATGACACACGCAAAGCATTGTTTGAGTCGCAGCCGCACTTACCTTTTTATGTTTGCTTGGACATCAATAGTTCCTTACCTTAGAAATCTTTTATAGGCCCTTGTTATTCCGCTTGGAAGATATTTTCGAAATACTGTCCATTGGTGTAAAGGGGGCCGACCGGCTAACTCATTCAAGCCACTGAGCCGGGATGAGTAAAATAAAGTTACTTGTTGTTGTCATTTCCTACTTCGTGTCGCAACCCAGTTACGTTTAGTCTATTTCGATCCTAATTTTGGCTTTTTTGACGTCCCACACTAAAAGGGTCCCGTACAAAACAACAGGTAACGCTAGGGATTTGCCAGATTTTAATTAATTTTTCATAGGTTCCTGTTACTCTGCGTGACATATGATAATCCGTCACGTAACGAGATCAACGAACAATTCATTCTGCCCCACATATAAAATCTAAACAAATATATTGCCATCGTGAACGAAAACGATACAACAAAGAAATGGACTTTACAAAATTTCACAAATATAAACCGTACAGTGAAAACCTTATGGAACGAAAATAACGATACAATTTTCCCACGGAAAAACAGTGTGATCAGTTAACGAAAGTAAACAAAAAACAAAAGCATAATAATCGTTGGTGAAAGGAATAAAGACAACGGTTGCTTTAACTCCAGCAGAAAAAGAATGTCTTGTTCTTTACTTGATATTGTTGGTGGCGTTTGCGGTGCAGAGGAACGCGCAAGGCATCAGTCCACTCAGACGGTATCTCTGTCATCATGCAGCAAGGATATCAGAAGCCACAAGCGTTTTTTACAATTTTCAGGTGTTGAAACAGAGATTGAACTTATCTTAACAAGAAGCGGGATTTTCGAGAAGCCCGCCAATTTTTCGGAAATGACTGTTTGCCCTTTACATTGATCAAGCCTCGGAATCGGATGGAGAAGAGCTATTAGATTATGTTCTGTGCCACAGGATGTTTCCGGTCACAAAAAACAATCTAAAGAAGTACCCGAGGCAGAAAGAGGAATTACTTTGCAGCACTCAAAACAAATTGAGCATGCGCATGCTCAAACGCCGCCATTGCCGCCCGTCAAGGACTTGGCAAAACCATACATGGCACAAGAATTGGATAGGCTTGCCCTTCCCAGATAGCATATCACACTCCAGGATATATCCAAATAATAAAGGTTTTAAATTATTATATGGATTCTCCACATTTTTTTTCCGAAATGCTCCAAATGGAAAATAATACTGAGAAGTAATTGGATAAAGATATCAGAATAGGTTATTAGTCAGTTATATTATAAGGTGAAAATAATCATCGACTATAAACTTCCGCCTTGCATGCGACACCCCGCGCGTGTATACGGTTGATCTCATTTTGAAGCCATCCAAAGCAATGTGTTCACTTTTTCGTCAGGTTGATGAACAAGGGAGTGACTCTGATATTCCTGCCACTTGTGCTGTCACTGTTGGTGATGAAGCATTGCCAGAAGGTTTCACATCCAAACGGCAGAGCCTATTTGTTCCACAAGAAGATTGCGAAGAGAGTGATGAAAGCTCGAGTCTAGACAACGAGTCCCAGGTGCAGCTAAATCGCTTCTTACACCTTCGAGACGTCAGTCCAGTAAGTCACACGTTATCAGTGCCGTGGAATACAGCGCACGAGCGTACTAAACGTAGATACCTACAGAAAGCTCAACAATGTATTTCTGCAATGCTGGATGTCCTGGCACCTGAAAATTCGCAAGAACTGTGGACGGAGCTTTGTGATCGTTACGCTGTATGTAGCGAGAGTCAGGTTGTGGTCGAAGGCAGAAGTGAAAAAGAGACAGACCTTCTTAATGCATTTGCTGAAAGCTACTTAAACGCACAACATTGGAGCACCAGACGGCAAATACTTTCTTTGATGGCAGACAAGTTATCCCTTAAGGAGATGAGGGAGTTTATTCCAACCGTTACTAGCTATCGCTACAACATTGCCCGACGCCACAGGCTGATACATGGAAGAGCTGCTCCTCTTCCAAACCAGGAGAAAAGGAGAATGAGAATTGAACCTGTAAAATTAGAACATTTTGTTTCTTTTATAACAAGTCCACACGTTATTCAAGATGTTCCTTTCGGGGAAAAACTTCTGAAATTGTCGACTGGCGAGATCATAAAAACACCCAATGTTATCAGAACAATGATACCAGAGCGTATTGTCCAGCAGTATCAACAATACTGCTGTGAAACCAACTTTGAGCCTATGAGTAAGAGAACGCTACAGAGAGTTTTGGCCGTGTGTTCTTCATCTGTTTGGAAGTCTCTGCAAGGACTTGATAACTTTTCAGCATCAGGGGTGGAAGCATTTGATGATTTAGAAAAACTCGTAGATAGGCTTGTTGACTGTGGCAAGACTCAGCAATGGGCAAGGGAAATTAAGCAGCAACTTCGTTTGTCGAAGCAGTACCTAAAGGGCGACTACAAAGTGGGTGCATATTTTATAATTATGCGTTGCCTTTGCAAATGCAGTAAACTTCTTACTATGATTCACGGCTACCTCTTTCTTTCCCTCCAAGTCTTCTTTATGCTTAATTTATGAAACAACAGTTTAAAATTCACTGTAATACGCTTACACACATGTATACAACGCTGAGAATCGGTTAAGTAATCTTTTTGAAATGTCGATCATATGCGCATGTATTGCTTTGCAACTATACACTGAATCACGTGCTCGTCATTTTACTTTTTATTTTAGGTACACGCAGTGGAGGCCTCTGAGGTTCCCGATCATTGTCGAATTTACGCGCTAAGTGACCCAAGCAATGCTGAATTTCAGGGCTCCTGCGACCATCTCCACAATGAGTCATGTGAACAGTGTTATGACTTACAAGAAGTATTGTGTACGATAGAAGATGAGTGTTCAAGTGCGCTCTCGTCAGCAGAAGATCAAGCTGACATGCTGCATACCATTAAACAGGCAAGGGATGATATCATCAGCTGGAAAGCCCATCAGCTACGTTCAGTCCACCAAGCTGAGGCAAAGCATTCAGTTTTAGCCAAACTCGACAGCCGATTGGTGCTGTTAGTCCAGGACTGGGCAATGAAATATATGCCCCGAAAATATCGAGAGGCACAGTCAGATTGGTTTGCGAAGTGAGGATTGCCATGGCACATTAGCGTTGCCATAAGACGGTCAGAGGATTCTGAGCACTTTGAATCGCAAACACTTGTTCACGTATTCCAAAGCTGCGCCCAAGACAGTGTGACTGTGGCTTCGATAATGCTTGACTGCCTCACTACCCTGAAAAAGGAAATTCCAGAGCTGGAAATGGCTTATTACAAACAAGATAACGCTGGCTGTTATCACAGCGGAAATTCAATCATCTCAGCTAAGCTGGCCGGTGATACCGTGGGAGTGGCTGTTGTAAGAAACGACTTTTCGGACCCTAAAGGTGGAAAGGGGGTATGTGATCGCAAAGCGGCAACAATCAAGGGAGACGATGGAAGGTATGTAAACGAAGGCAATGATGTCATCAACGCTCTACAGTTCAAAACAGCCATTGAATCTGGCCAAGGAACCACAGGAGTGAAAGCAAGTTATGTTACTGCCAAACCGTCATGCACCTTTAATATCAAATGGGATGGCATAAGCTTACTCAACAATTTTGAGTACAGTGAAAGTGGCGTACGAGTGTGGAGAGCATTCAATGTGGGTTCCGGTAAAGTAGTGCCATGGGCCAAGTTCGAAGGAGTCTTGAGGCAGCCCGAAAAATTGGAAATCCTAGACCCGCCATCGCCAAATCCAAGTGGTTCACCGACGTTCAAGATTGTGGGACACCGACATATTAAGAAAAGCTCTGTCAAAGCAGATTTCTCAACTGAAAGCGAAAACCAAGATCGACGCTGTATTGGGGAATATAAGCCAGATGACATGCTTTTCCCGTGTCCAGAAGAAGGATGTGTAAAAGCATACAGTCGCTTTGCAAACCTCCAGACACACCTAGATACTGGAAAACACCAAATGATGCTTGAACAGGAAACTCTCTATGATAAAGCTAAAAGAGAATATTCTTCCAAGCTGACGGAGGGACGCAGTCGAATACCAAGCGTTCAAGTTGCTGCACAATCAAAGCGTGACGGCTTGCCTCCTCTTCCAATGGGTTGGGCCCTGAAGAAAATTAAGAAAAAGGTGCGTGTTACAAAGAAACAGACCGAATTCTTAACTGACCAATTTCAAAAAGGGGAGTATAGTGGACGGAAAAGCGATCCACAGGAAGTTTCGAAAAACCATGAGCCTAGCAAGAGACCAAGCGGGGGAACGCCGATTTCAACCTGATGAAGTCCTTACGTCGCAGCAGATTAGTGGCTTCTTCAGCCGTCTTTCAGGAAAGAAGCGATTAGAAGTTACAGCCGCTGATAACGAAGCAAAAGCTAGTGAAGTCTCAGAAGTGGATATAGAGAGCGTCGACGAGGACGAAATCTCCGCCGAAGCTGAGAAGCTACTATCTGCAGTGTGTGCAAATGTGATGAGAGATGTGGCTATTCAGCATCCGATTGTATCTTTCGATCTTAACATCTGCGAACTTGTACAAAAACGTACAATCACAACTTTAAGAGTGGATAGGCTAAGAGACATGTGCATCGACCTTGGGCTGGATATTTCTGACATTTCACCTCAAAAGAGGAAAAAGCCATTCATCGCACGACTCACACAATTAGTCCAAGAGTGTACCTGCTCTTCCAAGTAACTGAGCACTGAACGTTTTACGAGTTACTGATCCGCTGATCATAAAAGCGGTGCATGTATTATTTACAAGAAGGCGTTGCGTGACAGCAGAGTCCTACATATCGGATTTCAGTCACTTGAGCCCACCACTGCTTGTGAAACCTTCTTACCTTTGTGTTGGACGATTTTCAGTATATTCGAAACTGGCAAGTGTAGAAGGCGCAGAGGGAATGCAAATGCTCGAATCCATGTTCACCGGATGAGAAGTAAACGTAAACTAACGGCTTTGAGCCACATTTAACCTGTTGAGTGCAATTCAACTGTTTAATCTGTTGTGTGATAGATTATGCAGAATTATGGCGTGATTCTCTGGGTAGCAAAGTCGAAAATTGTTTCTCCTGTCTCCGTAGATAAGTGTAGTTATAGACATTTTAATATGTTTCTAGTCATTTAGTGTGAAGACATAACTGACCAAAACAGTTATTTGTGTCCAACGCATTTAATTTTGCTATTATGCATCTCATTATGGTGTCATAGTAATTTAACCGAAATTCGGCTGGTGGTCATCTTTTGATAGTCAAAGGTCCCAAAGAAATAAAACCCAAATCGTAAAGAACTATCTTTCAAGGCTTCTTGGTAGTGTTATTGTAAACTTTGAGACACTACCACATGTATTTTTGCCAAGCTATTCTAGGCCACCTTTGCCTTAATTTCAAAAGGCCGAAGATGTCGTCTCTTAAGAGGGACGTAGCTCCGCCAAGAATAACATGAGACAAAAACTGTCACTTTGCCTCGATAATGCAAGTCCAACTCAATATTTCTATAACTAGAAAAGTTCTTCTGTTACATTTTTGTTAGCATGACAAGTGCTCGAAAAGTGCATAATTTCAGGATCGCGCTTGGTGAAATTTGAGCTATTTAACCCCGGAAATGTTAAAGCAAATTATTCCCGCTAAAGTGCATATTTCAAAAATCTAACCCCATTTCCTTTTGTTTACTAGATAAGACTACCCACAGGCAAAAAATGAACCAAATCGATTTTTGACCGTGTCCGCGACTTTTTCGATAATCTGTGATTTTTATTGACATTTACTCTTAAGTCTTATGGTTTTAGAACTTTTACAGTAGCTGCTCCCTTTTTATGGAACTCCTTACCTTTAGAAGTCAAGTCTTCGCCCAGTTTGAATATTTTTAAATCTAAACTGAAAACACACCTTTTTAAATGCGCTTTTAATCTAAATTAGATAACTTAATCTTTTGTTTTTATATTTCTAAGTCATACTGTAATACAATGGATGTAAAGCGCTTAGAACGCATGTGGATAAGCGCTATATAAGTGTTAAATGTTGTTAAATGTTGATACGATCCTCGTTGCCAAGATCAATGGTCTTGACATGCCAAGCAGCATCAAAGCTTGGGTGACCGACTTCCTGATAAACCAGCGACAACAGGTAAAACTGTCGGCAGACTGTTTCTCTGAGTGGGGCCCAGTCCCGGCCGGGGTCCCACAGGGAACCAAACTCGGACCATGGCTCTTTCTGCTCATGATAAACGATCTCAAAGTTGACGCCCCAACGTGGAAGTACGTAGATGATACTACCATCTCTCAAACCATACCCCGTGGCTCCCTGGGTGACATACAACGAGTTGTTACTGCGGTGGACACCTGGTCCCAATCCCAGCTGATGCAACTCAACGCTGACAAGTGCAAAGAGTTAATTATTGACTTTAAAGAAAATCCTTGTAACTTTTCTCCACTTGTAGTAGATAGCAAAGCCCTTCCCGTCATCGATTGCGCCAAAATCCTAGGTGTTACCATATCTAGTGATCTCAAATGGAACAATCACGTCGTAGATTGCATTAAGAAGGCAAACAATCGGATATATTTCATTGTTCTCCTGAAAAGGGCTCGTGTACCTTGTAATGACATTGTTGATTTCTACTGTACAACAATCAGATCTGTTCTAGAATATTGCGCTCCCCTCTTCCATCATGCGCTTCCCGCTTACCTCAGTGAGGATATAGAGAGAATACAGAAAAGAGTTCTTTCCATAATTCTCCCAGATATGTCATATCAGGACTGCTTGGACAGACTAGGCCTGCCAACGCTAAAAGAGAGACACAATGAACTATGTAAACAACTCTTTGATTCAATTGCCAACAACTCGGGGCATAAACTACACAACTTACTGCCTCCAAGAAATGAACAAAGCTACTGCCTGCGACAACAGAGAACATATAATCTACCACGCTTGCGCACAGACCGCCTTAGACAGTCCTTTGTGTATGCAATGTCCAAAGATGCCTAGCAACAAACAACGCCTAGTACTTAGCTAGTAACTATACAAATTTTAATCCCATTAGATACTTATATTTTTATATCATGTACATGTTTGTGACTAGTTTTAACATTTGCCTATTTATATATTTCTCTGTGAAATACGCAATTCAGTCTAATGACTGCGATGTATTTGTGAATAAACAGTCTATCTATCTATCTATCTATCTACCTTATTACATGAAATTTTCGCGACATGTTAATTTCGCGATTTGGAGAGTCGCATATTTCGCGACACCTTATTTTCGCGATTTTGCGAAAATTTTGCATTTTGACTCACTTTAATTCCGCGTTTTTGAGTGAGACAATTTATTTCTTTGTCAATGTTATTTTACATGTCCTTGAAAATTTGATCAAACAACTTAATCAACAATGTCCAAATAAACAGAAACGCAGCTGATTATGTAATCAGTAACAAGAAAGATGTTCTCACAGCGTCTAGAAGGCACGGTATGTACCTGCCCATGCTTGAATGCAAGTCACGTTATTACTGGTCAATTGACCTTAATATCCATTACATTAAATATTCCTTTCTGCTAACTCCGAGGAAAAAAATGTTGCCGTTTAGTTGCACGACTGATGCCGTTTAATCATTTGCGTAAATGTCTTGATACGGATCAACAGGGGGTAGCACTTCTTTTCCATTTAAAACATCCTTTATTCCGGCTTTTTCCCATCCTTTCAAAACATAAACCTTTCCTTCAGTGCTGGTGAAAAAGTTATACAACTCTACCAACCAAGTGGCATGGATTGGTTTAAGGACCGATAGTTTGAGATCAACATCGACATCTTCAAAATTGATTCCACTTTCCACTTGTTTCTGGACTTCTGCGGAATACCACGTCGCGAACTTGTTCTTGCAAAACTTCTTGGCCTGTCAATTGACCATTAGATCCAAGGGTTGAAAAAAATGTGTCATGTTAGCTGGGACAGAAATGACTTCTATATTCAGCGAGGAGAGCTTCGAGCAAACCTTCTGCGTTTTCTGACCTCTGAAGACATCCCAGATAAGAAGCGCTTTTTGAAATCGTGGAAGGCCAAGCTCCTTGCGTTTCTTTACCGCGTAGGGATTGATTACAGAATCAATAAGGCCTATTGTTTCTGCCTTGTTTGAATAGTGCTTTGGGTTTTGGCTGACACAAAAGCTCTTGGGAAAACTAAAGTTCCGAGGAAGGCTAGCCTTAGTTTTACCCTGGTATGTAATTTGTAACGGGAGAAATTTGCCAGACAAAGAAATCACAAATGTTAGAGTGATGTTACGCTTATCTGTCAAACCCTTGATTGGTACAGACTGAGAGTTTGTTGCTGCCATGGTCATTCAACCCACTGATACATAAGAACTCGGTGTTTGATCAGCATTAAGAATAAGTTCTGGTGGAATATTGTGTTGCTTGATGCAATTGTCAATGTCTGACAGGTAAGTGAGCTTGCATTCGTCCTAAACTCCTCTTGGAACTGGTGGCTTGGTTGTTGTGCCTGCACACCAGGAAAAGTTGCAACACTTGTAAATAGATTGAGTCCATCCTCGTGTGGGTGTAAATGAGAGGTACCTGTCACGCATTGATGGATTGCTGCTAATCAGTGCTTTTGCAGCAGCTGAAACGACGCTGCTGTTCACTACACCACCTCTGGGCCTGAGGTTTTTTAAGAATGCGATCAGTTTGCTGTCCAGCTCGAGAAGGAACGGTGGTCGCCCACATTTCTGCGTTTCAAGGGACGTAACCAGTTGAACGTTTCCTTGTCTTGTTTGCGCAGAAAGTTCCTCTCGAAATGCCTTTTTAAAGGCACGCACTGTGCTTTCTTTTAAGCCTGGAAATTCTTCAATAAAGCGTTCTAGGGTTTTTTTTGTTTCCATTTTCACTTGCGAACTTCCCAATTTTTACGCGATCCTCGCCGCTGTATTGAAAATATTTTCCCCTTTTTCTCTTAGGATGTTGATTTGGTTGCGAAATCTCGGCGGGTCTTGAAAGGTTTACGACTGCAGCCGCGGTTTCCCTGTGTTCAACCACTCCTAAATTTGTATCCTCCTGCCTCGGTATATGTGATTCAAGTATTTCTACCTCCACCGAATCTTCAGGCGAAGGTTCTTCTCTACTGAGAGAGAAGCCGAACTGAAACAAAGACATGTAATAGTAGTAGACGAACGCTCATGTGTAATTTCTACAGAAAACATGTGTAGTTGTAGAATACTGTA